ACAACATAAAGACATACATTTTCAACATCAACAACAAATCCCCCAACCCTATTATATTTATTAAACCCAAATATTGATAGAGACACACGCAAAATAGATTAAAAATTTGTGCACCCTAACAGAATCATGAGATTGATAGAAAAATTATTACACAATTTTCAATTGCAATGTCAACTAATGCATGATTTGGGTTCAAAACAGTGCCTATCCTCCCTAACCACGGAGGAGAGTGAGGAAGAAGAGAGAGAGAGAAAAACTAGATCTGGTGGAGTTCATAGAGGACTCCACCATGCTCAATCGACGACTTCGAAGGAGGTAGTGGCGTCGAAGGAGTAGTGGCGTCGTAACGGAAGAGGCAACGGCCACTGGCCAAGGGTAACACGGTGGTAGTGGCGTCAGAACGAAAGAGGCAACGGCATCGGAGGATCTTATCGACGACTTCAGATGTGGAAGAGAGAGTAGAGGGAAGAGAGAGAGAGAAGTGGGTTTGTAAGGGAGAAGAGAGAGAGAGAGAGAGAGAGAGTCGTAGGGAGGGGGGAGAGAGAAAGAGAGCCCTACTCAGAGCAGAGACGGCTGTGTGTGTGTTTGTGTTGAGTGTGTGTGAGTGTTCAAACAAAACCCTAAACACACACACATATGTTATATATAAGCAAGGGCAGAAGAGTAATTTCATGTCGGGGGCAACCGGGCCGGGGATCGGGGCAGGGGCCGGGCCGGGTCCGGGGCTGGGACTAAAACATGTATCCCCGTCCCCGGCCCGAATATCATCGGGGATTTTTTTTTATCACCATCCTCGGCCTGTCGGGGGTATTTTTTGGGAAATAATCGTTATATTCGGGATCGGGGGGTCGGGTCCCCATCGGGCCGATTTCAGATTGCCATCCCTATTCATAAAGTTATATCAAAAAAGAAAATAGCCTCATGGTTGAATGCTAAACATAGTAAGGAAAATACATGCGAGATGCTAAAGTATAAAAACTTATATATTTACTGATGTCCCACGAACAGCTTTGAAGGAAAAGATGAATTTTCTGATTATCAAACTTTCTTCCTAACACCATCACGGTTATGGAGTATGCTTTGAACTCTTTGTAAGAAGTTGCAAGTTTAAGCTTTAATGAAATTTTTTGGTATATATCAGTGGATAGAAAGGTTTAAGATTTGTTGAAACAAAAATTATTTTTTCAAAATTTTCTCTTCTCAAGATTTTGTGCAACAAAATTTTTCTAATTTTTTCTTTTTTTTTTTTCCGTTCTTTTTTTTTTGAAACAAAATTTTATTTCTCAAAATTTTCTCTCTTTTTTTCCCCTCTTTTTTAAAACAACAAAATGAGGGGGTATTTATAGAATTCTCAAACACTCAAAACACATGGCTTGCCATGTGGTATCTCAAAACCATGTGGCTTGCCATGTGGTGTAAGAATTGATTTTCCAAAATTGCTAAATTTTCGAAAAATAAAAAATTCAAAAAAATATTTTGAATATTTCTAAAATAATTTGCCGAAAACAGGTGTAAGGTTGGAATTAAAGCTTAAACCTGACTTTTCTGCTAAAAATTCATAAAATAGCAATTCCAATTTTCATCATCGGATGTTCGAAAGAAAGCGCTTAAGTTTTAGGACCGGTCAAAATAGGGTGTCTACACTAAAAAAATAAAGTAAGGGATGTCCTTTCCTTCTTACCTGTTAGCAATAGTAGGAAACAATCTTGGTAAGTTTATGGGCTAACCTATTTCTATGATTATGTTTACTAAATGTTAATAACTTCTTTAAACACCTTTAATAGTTACCCTTAGCTTATCTATTTACACTATTTTTTTTTTTAATTGCAAGGCTAAAATTGGCACGAATGACCTGATTAAGGCTTTTTATGTGGCTTTTTTGAAGCCTTTTTTCAGTAATTAAAGTTGAGTTTTTTGGCAAAAAATTATTAATTCCAAATGATATAGAGCTTTGGGTGGTTCTATTTGCATAATCCCAAACCTTTCAATATACACCAATTCATAATTTTTTATTATCATTACTCTTATGTCCTTTTATCAAATTACTATTTTGGACATAATTCTAAACCCTATACCCTTAATAAATACCTTTCTTCATCAGAGGGCACAACTACCCACCACTATCACCACCAGCCTCCATGGCCTACTTTCTACCTTCGGCCACCGTCACTGATACCAACCATCACGACCATCCTCTTTAGCCACTATCGCAACTTCTACAGTATCCTTACTTTGCTGTCCCACTCCCTCTCGGCCATACTACTACAACCATAACAAACATTCCCTCACCGGTGACCCCTTCCCTCGCTGCAAACCCTTCCCCCTCCCATCATTAGCGATTCATCACCACAGTGAACAACCAACACCCGCTATCACAAAAGCCCCATCGTCTTCCATCCCCACTATCACGAATAGCCTTGCCATCCAGTCCTACCATCACGACCCAGCGCTTCACTTCTACCATTGCAATCTAGTCCCCATCGTCCTTCATTGCTATATATATATATAGAGAGAGAGAGAGAGAGATAGAGAGAGAGAGTGTTGGACAATCTTCATTGCATTCGAAGAATGGATAAAAGA